ACGATGCGTCCGGCCAGTTCGCCGAGAAACTGCACCATCATACCCTTCTAACTGGAATAGACCCAAAAAAGCAAACCAATGAGTTTTATTATACAAATGTGTAAATATATATGTGGTAGTCATTACTACCAGTGTCACTATTATCACTGATTATAAACCTTTTTCGGATGCAGTACTCCCAAACCAACTACCAGATCCATGTTGAACTTCACGTAATTCATGGTGAAAAAAGTAACGAAACAACAAAGCACACGGAAGCATTGCAAAGGAATCGCCAGCTGGGAAGAAATATGAAACAGGCGTGAAGTTTCCACGGAAGAGCTGTACACTCTGCGATTGCACACAAAACTTCACTGTCGCGGCTTTTAAACGCCCAGGCGCGGGAAAACGACGCGATTTCGAGATGACGGAGGAGGTCGACGCGACGCCGCGATCTCAACCAAGCGCTGCTCTTTCTCTTTGTGCCTTTGTCAGTAAAGTACCCATTTTTCCAGCTTATAGTTATGTTTCAGAAGGAAAATGTCAACAGAGGAAGTAGTAAATGAGGAAGAGCAGATGGAGGTGAATGAGGTTTGTTGAGTTTTGTTCTGCTTCTTCATGAAAAGTCGCGTACTTGTGTGTTGACTTGTATGAGCGATTTCCGGAAATGATTTGCCTGTAGTTGAATCCTAGCTGTGAGCAGCTTGTGCGCGTCTTGGGTGCTTGCAGCGAACGCACTTAAGCGATTGATATCTATTGGTACTTCATTTGAACTTGTCGCTAAGCCACTGATGCTTTTCGTATTAGATTGAGTTATATCGCCTTTATTGGTCCATTGAATGAGGTGCCATTTCCTTGCCATCTCATTTTTTCCATCGGAAAGAAGTAGGTGTAGTAATTTCGGTGCTAACTTAGTTGGGGGGGGGGGACCACGCGGCGGCGCGGCGCTTGTTCGTCTGCTCCTCCAAGGCTTAGTCCGCCGATGGCGCGTATTTCGAAACTGCCACGTGGCGACGAAATAGTAACTGCCCCTTGGACTAAGCCTTAGAGGAGCAGACGAACAGAGCGCCGCGCCGCCGCGTGGTCCCCCCCCCAAGTAAGTTAGCACCGTAATTTCCAGCGAATTAACTGTGGAATCGTATAATATGCCCTTCATAAATGTTATGGTACATACCAGTATTTGTTTGCCGTGGGATTTGCACAGAATGATAATATGCTTTAAATCCAGGAAAGTGCACAGCAAGAAACTTCTGAGGATGTCAAGATGGCACAAGAAGAAGATGAGGAGGATGAGATGGAGGCTGAGGAGGGAGGTAAAAACATATTTCAGTTTTCTTGTGAGAATCAGTTTTTTATTGTTAAAGATGTATTTCAGAGGATAGCCTCGAGTCAAAGTTCGAAGCAGACTCCTTCAAGAGATTCGAGTTATTGCTAAAGAAAACAGAGAATTTCTCGCACTGCCTCAGTGCAGGGGATGTCGCAGCTTACAAAGGTAGGTCGTTGAGAACTTCCATCGCGTGACTACCGGTGTCATTCAATTGCAGCTTGCAAAATATGTAAAAATACATTTATAGGATCACCTGTGAAGAAGAAGCGGGGAAGAACTGCCAAGACTGGAATTGAAGGTGACCACAGACATAGGAAAACCGAGCAGGTTCGTCAAAAAAATTCGAATTTTTGACATTGGGAGTTTGATCCCGTTGTGAATAGTATATTTCGGTCAGTGGTAATTGCATATTTTAGTTTTTACTGCTTCTCAGTGTGATGATTTTACTCAGTAAGAAAGCTCGTAGGAATTTCAGTGGCGTTAGACCATGATTTTTAGGAAGAAGATGAGGAGATGGCTGAGGCTGCTGTCAGAGAAGACACCATAATGGTCTTCGATAAGAACCCATTTTATATTCTGAATGGTGAATTAAGGTGAAATAGTACTACCGCTTCATATCTGCACGTAGTCCAAGCAATTACCATTCATGTTCCATTATAGAGATTACCAAGTGCGTGGGCTGAATTGGCTAATTTCACTTCAGCATAATGGTATCAATGGAATTCTCGCTGATGAGATGGTATCTTTTCTTAAAACTTCTTCACCTTACTCACTTAGAAGTGACCAGCATACTGTATAAATTGCGTTCAAATTTGAAGGGTCTGGGGAAGACGCTGCAGACGATTGCTCTTCTCGGATATATGAAACACTACAAAAACATGGCTAGCCCTCATCTAGTAATCGTCCCGAAGTCGACGCTGAAAAATTGGATGAACGAATTTGCAAAATGGTGTCCTTCTATCGTAACTTGTTGCGTGATAGGAGACGAGAAGGAGAGGGTGAGTCAGCATTGGCTTCTAAGCAGGGATTTCACATATTACATTTTTAATTTTAGAATGATGTAATTCACAATGTGATTCTACCACAAAAGTTTGATGTCTGCTGTACCACCTACGAGATGGTGCTGAAAGTGAAAACCCAATTAAAGAAGTTGGTATGGAAGTATATCATCATAGACGAAGCTCACAGGATCAAGAACGAAAAGTCGAAGGTATTTCCCTTTTTCCTCTCCGTCCTTACTACAACCGCTTTCGAAACCTGTCGTTTTGTTTTCAGCTCTCGGAAGTTGTAAGAGAGATTAAGTCAAAAAATCGCCTTCTCATCACTGGAACTCCACTGCAAAATAATCTTCATGAGCTCTGGGCTTTGTTGAACTTTTTGCTTCCCGATATGTTCTCGTCATCGGAGGATTTCGATTCTTGGTTTACTGATGGAAGTATGCAGGGCAATACGGACATCATATCTCGTCTTCATAAGGTAATCAAAAAGTGCAAATATGTTAGCAAACACATTCCGCAATTTCTTTTATTTTAGGTGCTTCAACCCTTCCTTCTACGCCGAATAAAGTCTGACGTAGAAAAGTCCCTTTTGCCTAAAAAGGAAGTCAAGGTACGGTGTTGACAATTAAGTGACTATTCAGAAAATTTTGAAGGCTACGTTTGCGGTAGGGTCTGGAAGGGTCGGAGGATCATGGGGTTGCTCACTGTAAGCCGCCCGGAAAAATCTGAGAATCCGTCCAGAACGAGACCCCCTCAATCTATGCTGCAGTCGAGTTGCTCAAGTTGTGCCACTGCTGGCAACATTTCCTCCAAATCACTAAATTTGTGGGTGAAACGCTCAGGGGGCGGGGAGATTCGCAAGTATGCCCACCAGCCAGCGTGAAAGCGCTACACTTTGGTTCCTTGGCATACTGCTTCTGTGGCGCATATGCTTGCTCAGCACGCTCCCTAGTTATCGTTATCGCTTCCTTTAATAAGTATGCAGTAATGGGAAAACAAATGGAAAAATGTGGG